AGCTATTTTTTTTTTAAAAAAACAGCTATTTACTGTTGAGCGCTCAACCCTGACTCAGGCTTCGAACTTGCCACCTTTAGGTCAGCAGTAATTTATTGCACTCGATTAACCAGTTGTGCTACCAATCCAGCACTTAGGGCACAGATCAGAAAAGACCAAAATCTTCTTCAGACTTGATGATTAATATGGATCAGCCTTGTATTTAATAACTCAATTCACAGCTGTAAGAGTTCAGGTGATGGATGACTACTATATACACTTCCATGTAGACAAATAAAGAGGTTAGTAGGAGAGGGATTGTTCCCAATCCCTCTAACCCAGAGCTTTCCAAACATTTCATGTTGGTGATACACTTTTTAAATATGCATCATTTTGTAACACAGTAATTCAGCTTTATTAGCGAACTGGAGGTTAAATGAACAGCTTAGAAAATATACAGACACATACATTGTGGTGAAGTGTGAATTTTAATCTACAGTGTTTAAAAGGGTAAGTATTTAAACTAGCATAATTGAGGGGATGGTAGCCAGCTCAACTCACTTTGAGCTGAGTTGCCATGGAAAAAGGGGCGGCGCCAACTGCCACTTGACTGGGTAGCCATTTTAAAACAGTTAGCCTGTAGTCAGCGAACTACAGGGAAGGCTGGATCTATTGTGTGTTGAGAACCAGGAAGGTAGTCTGTAGTCTAAGAACTAAAGGAAAAGGCTAATTCTACTGCGTTGAGAATCAGGAAGGTTTTGGCTTTTAGCCTGTGTAGTTTGGAAAGGTCGAGTTGACTTATTTATATTATTAGTCAGTGTATGAGCAAAAGGGGGAGAGAACCTTTACTGCAACAGAAATAAAGAATCTGTACTGCAACAGAAATAACGTAAGGAAAGAATAAGCTTGTACCTGAAGTAATCCGTTAAAGAAATAAACACATTTTGAAGGAAAATAAGTTTGAAACCTGTTCAGTGGAATGAATAGTCCCCGTAAGAGTTGTTTTCTGAAATGTATTAAATGTAACCTCTGAAGAAATGTGCCTTTAAGAGTTAAGAAACATTGAAACCATCAAGCTTCTTCTATACTTCAATAAACTTGTTACAGTTTCTTCTAAAGCCAAGTCTCTGTTACAAATACTTTCAAGTTAAGCCATGCTACACATTGAAGAAAGGCCAAATCAACATTATAAGCTATTAGTTATCAATTTAACAAGTCCTTACAAAGTGGTGGCTCCTTTACAAACCGTTACAAATTGGTGGCATCATTACAAACTGGGTGCCATCTTTACAAATTGGTGGTCTCTTCACATACATATATTACAATAATGAAATTACGAGGACATAACATATTTCATGGAAACTTTTCCTTGATATTTTTTGAAATATATGATTTATTGCTTATTTCAGATAAACCCAGAGGTTTATTGTTAAGTTCATGTGGCACACCTACACAATGCAGCTGACGCGGCAATGTGTCACAATACAGTGTTTAGAAAGCCCTGGTCTAACCACTAACCCCATTCTGTAGGCTAGCCAGGAAGGAGAGGAAATCATAAACAGTACAGAAACATAACAGCAGGAAACATGGAGGTGGGTCACTCCATTCATTTTCAACGAATATATTCAGCAGAATAACAGCAGATGTTACACATGCACGTCATGGTGAATGATTCTTGCCTCTTCTTTAGCCAATATAGAAATAAGCCTCTTTGCAAGCTAATAAATTATGCAGGTTTATTATAGTTGGTAAAGGGCCTTAATTATTCAAGCTCATATTTCCAACAAAAGCCCAAATTCATAGGGATCTCTTTATGATTCTTATCATAAGGTACTATTAAACAAACACCACATAATGTTTTAAATGTATATTCAGTTTCCCTATATTTGTTATTTTTAATTGATACATTGCAGGTTTTACCAACTGGTTAAACCAATGAATTCAATAAGGCATGTGGGGAAAAAAAATAATAAAACATATAGACAGGGTTTGAAACAAGGCTTACTATTTTATACAAGGAATGGAATTCGAACCTGCAGCACTTAAGTCTCTGGATCAGTCTACGTTAAAATACCTTAGGAAAGTAATTAAAATGGATTTTTCTCTCCTTGTAATGCTTAGGATAAGATTTAAAACAGCTTTGCCGAATTACAGTAATCATATTTCTTAGAAATATTGTAAAATAACAAATCCTTCAAAATTGAAAACTTAATCCACAGAGCCGGAAAACAATCCCCTTAGAAGATGACAAAACCTGATTATTCTGAAGATCCTGTATTTCTTATATACCACACATGTGATCCTCCATATTGCATGATTGAAAAAAAAGAAACAGCAATACCTAGAGTGAGGATTGTGAACAAAATTTTCAGTTCTATCAATTGTAATCAAGAAGTCATAAACTCCAGAACCCCCAACTGTTTATTAGTGGCCCCTTCCAAAATTGCAAAGTTACAGTTTTTTAAAGAATGAATCTTTTATGATGGATTCAAAGGACAATGCTAAAAAGAAAGAGTCTAGGAAATTAAATGGAAATTAAAGTAGTATTCACATGGCACTACTTCCCTGTTTACAGTAACAACAAGCAAACAAAATTATAGCACTGAATCCAAAAGTGCTATTCCATTTGGAGATGGGACTTCAAATAAGTGGAGGTTATTTCCCCCTCCTGCATCAAGATACAAACCTACCATACCGATTTCTTGACCATGCTAACTCATAACAGAGAACCTGTAGGTTTATGGTTCTCTAGCTAGCCATTGCACTCCAAAGCAGAGTCTGGTTTTATCTCAAGCCAAAGATTGCACCCTGATGGATGTAAATACTGATCTTGGAGGAAAAGAGGTTCACTGTGATACTTTCTGAATGTGTTTTGCATACATTATGTATTTCCTCAAAATGTTTGTAATTTGATTTACCCATATTTTCCGACGTATAAGACGACTGGGCGTATAAGATGACCCCCAACTTTTCCAGTTAAAATATAGTTTGGGATATACTCGCCGTATAAGAACCTTATCCCCTCTTCCAATGCACACCAAATAAAAATTAAAAAAATATCAGATTTGATTACAATATGGTAATTTTCCTATTATTGCACCTCCTTTACTGCCTTTCAGATTTTGCACATGTGCACCTGTGCCACTTCACTGGAGTCCTCAGGAGTGAGATCTGAGAGGCAGAGAAGAAGGTACGGTAATAGGATACAAGGGCGGGCCAGGTGGATGAAAGAGCCGTGTTTTTCTGGGCACAGAGCCACTCTATCTCTTTTTCCATACCCCAGGCATCCCGGATGCCTGCACTTTGCTCCGCCCTTCACTTACACCCCCTCATCTCGTCATCAGGACCACATTAACTCACTCCTTTCCACGAATCCTGGTGAGTGGATTTTCTTCTACCCTTGTACAACGCTGCCCTTGGTGCTTTCATAAAATCACCACAGTGGGGATGCACCCGCGGCCGTTTTTGAGCTCCCGCAGACTGTTTCGCCAGTTGGGGCAATGTTGGTGTTTGAGTATAGTACTTCTGTCAAGTCAAGGGATTTCTAGTTCCATGTTCTATGGTCCTTTTTTGTTCATGGTTTATGATTCCAAGTTTTTGAGCACTGTTCCTGAATCTCATATTTTGGATTTATTCTGCTTTTATATTCCTGATTTTTGATGCTACTCATGTACTTTGATTTCTGTGGATTTATCCTGATATTTGGGCTTTGGTTTTTATACCATTTTGCTGAATTGCTTTTCATATATTCTTCAATAAACTGCTTTGCTATTTTACCGTGGCCTGGAGTGTGTCTCAAGTACAGAAGTGATTCCAAGTCTTGGAGTGCAACAGTTTTCTAGGGACCATCTGTTTAGGAACTGTCTAATTTTTTAATGTACTATGGTCCTTCCCATGCAATTTATACATACACTAAGAAAGGGGAAAGAACGATTCATGTGAGAAGAGTCACAACCAGAGACTTCAGAGAACAATTGCTTGCTAACTAGTTATTTATATAAAATGAAGATCTTCTGACCTTACAAATAACGAGACACACTGAATAGCTTCCTATGAAGACACCGTTAACCTTTAAGCATATTCAAGGCCAGCGTTAACTATTCAGAGTGCTAAAACACAGCCAAGCAAATAGAAATTTTGCTGCAGTTAAGCGCTGGTGTAACTAGGCTTACACTGTATATAATGGAACAATAGAATCCATCTATTCATGAAGCTTATTCTGTACTTAGCAGTTTGTGCAATAGGATTTCTTTGACACACATACACCCATAACTGACAGGCAGTGTCACAAATATGTGCTTAGTTCTGCTCGGCATCACATTGCTCGTTAACTTAACGAACTATCAAGAGAATATGTTTAGAATGGGCAAGCACTATCTCTTGAATTTCATTTAATTAAACTCTGCTCCAGGAATATGACAGTCAGCATTTCATGATGGGAATTGTTTTAAGGATGAAGGTAGAAAATGTTTCAAAGTAGCCTGAGACATGAAAGTATAATCTAAAATTACCCTTGCACTCCCCTGTAATTTATCTCTAATATTAAGGACATTGTTTCCAAAGTTGTAATTAATTGCATTCCACAGAGAAATTATTCACACATTCCTGGTAGCAAAACGATACACATAGGCACAAAACACAGCACCAAAAGACGACTATAAACAACCAATGTGACTTTCTGTATCACTACAACCATTGAGCTTAATGCAAAATGAATGCTGGCTGCCTTTTGTACGTAGCCATTAGTCTGCAACAGAGAGATTTGCATTGCATTTTGATTACTTTGCCTTAATAAACCATAATGAGAGTGGCTCATGCTCTAGTAGCTTTCCTTTAAATGAAACACTGCAGTAAGTTTGCAAAATGTGACTGTGCCACAAGCTGATTAAGGGCGACACCTTGCCTGCGAATGACTGCATTATGGCGGGGACAAATCGTAGCACAGGCTTTGCCAAAGCAGCTCACAGCGCTTTTAACTAAACTTTCAACCCATTTAGTCTCACTTAGCTTTTGAGACTTACCATCGATCCGGCTAACAAGTTCTTCCAGCATTTTCACTTTCTTCTGAATACCTGGCTGTGCAAAAGTGTAGTTATCCTGAGGAGACAAGATTTTAAAATCTATATATATATATGTCATCAAAAGGATAAGAAAATCAGCTATTCATAAAACCTAAGCACACATTGCTGAATGAGTATCTTGAATTAATTCCTTTAAGAGAAAAACTGCAATTCAAACAAGGAGAAAAACCTATGGTAGAAAGTCTGATGGTTTTAAGCACAATTACTATGTTGTTTAGAGAATGTCGTTTCAGCTGAGGCTCAAGCCAATGTATTCAATGTAACATGTATTCTGCCACACATATGTCCATAATTAGAAAAATGCATGTCATAAACTGTCATGTTATTCGACGGAAAATTTATAATCAGAAATAGACTAAGGATTGGGAAAAGTGTAGAAAAACAGGGTCAGGACATTAGGTTAAATACTAGCACATCTGTTTTGTTTTAATAAAGGAATTGATAGGATATTAAGTTTTATTATATTTTAGTGTTTATGTTTAACGTTTGAAATTATTCATTTATTATTTTTAACATTGTTAGCTAATTTGAGTCTCTTTTAAGAGAGAAGTGGAATACAAATAATAATAATAATAATAATAATAATAATAATAATAATAATAATTTCAGAAATACCTCTATAGTAGTGGTCTCAACCTGTGGCTCCCCAGATGTTTTGGCCTTGAACTTTCAGAAATTCTAACAGCTGGTAAACACCTAGGGACCCACAGGTTGAGAACCACTGCTCTATAGAGGTGTAGAAACATTGTGACTCTACAGTTTTTGTTGGATTCCAACTCCTATCACCAATACCAATGATTAGGACAGGTTAAAGCATGGACAAAATCCTATAGAGTAGCTCTAATGAGATTAAACTCAAAGAACCAAATGTTGAATAGTGAGACAACACATGGATAAGTCTCACCAATTCAGTAGGTCTACTCTAATAGGCCCATAGATAGATAGATAGATAGATAGATAGATAGATAGATAGATAGATAGATAGACAGACAGACAGACAGACAGACAGACAGACAGGTGACAGACCAGAATCAACCTATTATATAATTATTGTCATTATTTCTACTACTACTGAATTTAAATTTCTCATATTTTGGACATTGTACTTGGCTTTCTGAGAACTCCTATTTATGAGAAAATAAATAATTACATAAAATATTTTATTTACAAATGGAATGGCTGAACATTTTTATGTTCTGACAAGAAATAATGGCTGCAAAAGAACTGGCAGCTCTGATAGCAGTTGGTGGGTGAATTGTACTCAGTTCCCAGGTAGATGCTGTGCTTCTGAACAGAAACATATTTGAGCTATATTAAATATTTTATTCTACAAACTACTTATGACGGCCAATTATTATTTAAAATACCATCAAATTCTGCAGGATATATTCTTAAATGCAGCCTTTTGACAAGTGAATGCATTTTATAGTGCTTAGAAAGAAAGGGCAACAAACCAAATGGAGAATTTTAATGCAGTTAGTGAAGAGGAACAGCATTTAGCAATAGCAAAGATGGAAAGAAACACCTGTCAATAAGTTAATAATACTGGAAGTCACAGTCCTTCTTCCCTAATGGGGTCACAATATATAATCACAAATTGAAGCATGGCTAAAGGTTTTTAAAGGTGCTATCTTCTTATTTTCCTGTTTTTGCACATCTCTTCTCCTCAACATTACTGCTTTTTTCCTTACTTATTTCCTTACTCATTTAAAAATGTTTCCCAGCAGGAGGAGAAACATTACTGTTTCAAAGAATTATATGGTAATACCATTATATTCTTAAGAAGGACTAATTTCTTAATTTGTTGTGGTCTTCAAGTCATTTCTGACCTACCACAGGGTTTTCTTGGCAAAATTGGTTCAGAATAAGTTTGCCATTGCCTTTCATAATGCACTTCAAAATAGCCTTATTTTGTTTTGGGCTAAAGCAATATTGAATATTTTGTTATGAACAGGAATTAGTTTTTCCCCTTTAAGATATATCAATCAGTGTGCATCCATTTCCCAACACAGGGATGGAGGCATCTACTACTTCCTCCTAGTTAGAAGTGTTCTTTAACATCTTTAATTCAGTTATAGACTACAACACTAATCAGTTATCTCCATTGGTTAGAGAAAAGGAAATCAATCTACCTGAATCCCATCAAGCAGTTTACTCATGCACCAGAAACTGTCAGCTTCAATGTTCTGCAGTACTTCAGTAGGCAAGCTGGAAACATCAAAATTTTCCACTTCTTCTTCTGTTTTGTAAAAGAGAAAGAAAGGGGAGAAAAAAGGCATATTGATGAAGTAAATAAAATGAACAAGTAATCAATGCCTCATATTGAGTAATAACTTTTCCCATGAGCTTTATGGTGTCAAAAATGCCGCCATAAATACTTCTTAGACTGGTATGTAGCTTAAATTAGTACATTAGATGTAACTGTACCTAGAAAATAATTATCTGGGCTAGAGATAAAGTTGAACTAATGTAAGATACCCTTGACAACTTTACATACGTTGTAACTAAATCATCTATTAGTTGTCTTATGCCATAATTGAAAATTGGTATTTTAATTATATTATGCTTGTATTATGACATTGCGTTGTTTCCCAGTCTGTTACCAGATTCAATTTAAATGACTGATTTTCATCTTTAAAACCCCTCGCATTGCATAAGACCAGTGGCCCATTGACACTACATAATTATAGCATTATTATTCCACTTTAATTGCCAAGATTCCATCCTATAGAATTCCTATTCTTTGGTGAGGAACCAGATTTTTCTGCCTGATAATTGTCCCTCTCCACATTAAAACTTTCAGAATTCCATAGGATGGAACCATGGGGGTTAAACTAAAATAATTGGCCTATAAGTTCAGAAACATGCAAATGTGAGTAGATCAATAGGTACTGCTTCTGCAGAAAGGTGACAGCGCTCCTTGCAGTCATGCCGGCCACATGACCTTGGAGGTGTCTACAGACAATGCCGGCTCTTCGGCTTAGAAATGGAGATGAGAACCAATCCCCAGAATCGGACACGACTGGACATAACGTCAGGGGAAAATCTTTATCTTTATTATATGAATGGGACCTAGACTATGACCTGTCTCCATAGAAACCTATCCATATAATAAGATCACAACTGGAAGGCTTTCAACAGGTGCCCCTATCATCTAAGGTGGGGCAGGTAGATATCAAAAGGGGGCCTTCTTAGTGGTGATACACTCCACAGAATGCTTGACTTTTGGCTACTTATTTTTCATTCACCACTATGCTGCAAGTCGTCTCTGGTTACTTCAGTGGTCTGCGCCCTACACCACTGGAGAAATTACACTGCTTAGCCGGTATTGCACCACCTGACATCCGCCGGGAAGTTGCAGCCAATAGTGAAAGAACCAAGGCAGAGACATCTCCAGCTCATCCCTTGTTTGGATATCAGCCAGCACGTCAACGACTTAAATCAAGAAATAGTTTTCTTAGATCTACAGAGACACTTGCTGGAACACCTCAGCAAGCGAGAGTTCAGAAGTGGCAAGTTCAAACCCAGCACCTCAATCTGTGGGTGATACCAGATGAGAGACTCCCCCTGGGCACACAGAAGACTGGGCGACTTGGAAGGCGCTGAAAGGACTGCGCTCTGGCACCACGAGATGCAGAGCCAATCTTAAGAAATGGGGTTACAAAGTGGAATCCACGACATGCGAGTGCGGAGAAGAGCAAACCACTGACCACCTGCTGCAATGCAACCTGAGCCCTGCCACATGCACGATGGAGGACCTTCTTGCGGCAACACCAGAAGCACTCCAAGTGGCCAGATACTGGTCAAAGGACATTTAATTAGCTACCAAGTTTGCAAAATTTGTGGGTTTTTTTTATCTGTTTGTTTGTTTTGTTCTGTTAGAAATGTAATACAATGTTCTGGTTGCGGATGACACGATAAATAAATATTCACCACTATGTAATACTGTGGATATCATTTTAATATTTTTTATATAAAAGGAACAGAGCAGTTACATTAACTTTTTTAACAACAACAACACCCTAAGAATGCAATTGGAGGGCAGCATAAAAATAGTTATGCAACTGATTCAAATTTTCCTGCATCCAAAATACATCCACTGACATCAGGAAGAATGCTTTCATGGGTTCCAATCGAAATAAATCAGTAACGTTTTGTTGATAGGGCTTCTACCATGCCCTAACCCGACAATACATTTTCCTATTAAGTATCATATGTGAAAAGAGACTCCTATATATAACTTGAAAACTACTTAAAGGTTTTCTATTGTCACTGATAAAAGTATTGTGATACGTATCATGTTTGGATATATGTGCCCCCAGTGGTGAAGTGGGTCAAACCGATTAGCTGCTGAACTTGCTGACCGAAAAGTCAGTTATTCAAATCCAGGGAGCGGGTTGAGCTCCCGCTGTTAGCCCCAGCTTTGGCCAGCCTAGCAGTTCAAAAACATGCAAATGTGAGTAGATCAATAGGTGCCATTCCAGTGGGAAGGTAATGGCACTCCATGCGGTCATGCCAGCCACATGACTTTGCAGGTGTTTACAGGGTCTTTGGCTTAGAAATGGAGATGAGCATCCATCCCCTGAGTCGGACATGACTTAATGTCAGGGGAAAACCTTTACCTTTTATCATGTTTGGAAGCCCTCCCAAATTTGGTAAATTGGAGTGACAGAAACTTTGCTGAAGAAAACATAGCCACCATCAGAACTCTCATTACTGTGAGAGTAAATACTTTGGATATCTATAAGAAGAGCTTTGTGGTTTCTGCCTAGGTCAATGAGTTTTCAAGGAAATAACATGATTCATTTTATGTGTGTAAGACCATGATAGCTTATGAAGAGATTAATTGGTTTCTCCAGATCAAACAGCTGGCAAGCTCCAGAAGCACAGCAAGTTCGGATTACATTTTCTGCCCCAAGCCATGACAGACCATCAGCCAGAGTCTGCTGGGAGAGCTGCAATTTATCTGGCTTTGGAGAAACCTATCATGATCCTATTCTCTTGGCAACTGCTGAGAAACAGAACAGCAAGTTACATCCCTCTAATAACTGCAATCTGATCTCTTCACCCAAACCTAAAATAAATAAATAAAACAAAAGCATTGTGTGAATTGGTGTGTGTGCTGTTAAAACTTGCTTTTTTACTAATGAGAGTTCAATAAAAGTTGTCAAAAGCAATGTTAATAGTCCATTTATGCTGTACCTGGCCTTCCAAATGGGTATCATAAAACAACCTACGCTTTAAATACACTTAAACCTAATTGATTTTAAGTGGTTCAAATGCATCTAACTCTTGCCTTAATATTTGAGATGTGTTTTATGGTCACATCTGTTTTCACATTGAGTAGCTAACGCAATAGGTAAAAATGATCTCTCTTAAGTCACATTCTAATCAATTGTTACAAAGCATTGCCAATTCAGGCAGTTCCCAGGTTGCAAAGAAAATACATTCTGTAGGTTGATTCTTGAAGCTGAATTTCTAAGTAAGTTAGAACAGATGCATTCTAAAGTGTAGCTCTAGCCATTTTTTAAAGTTTTGGATACTACAGGGAAGGTTTAAGACCCCTGTAACTATTATTTTGCTGTCTGTGCCCCTGTTCAGAAGATTTTACCTCACTTTCTGTCTGGATTAGGGAAAAATTGGTTTGTCATAGAAATGATTGGAGTAGAGACACTTTTACCCATGAAACTTTCATAGGAGTGACTTCCCTTCCTAGGGGTAAATTTCCTCTCATTTCCTGTTGTCTCCCCCCTATTTGTAACTAGGAGCCAGATATAAGTTTGTAATTCGGGCACTGCGTATATAAGACCCAAGTAACTGTAAATAAAGAAACATATTGGATATTAGGATATTAGGCATGTGTGAGCGATAAAACATTTTTTTCAAAAGTCATTACATGAGGCACTGACACTTTATTTCTAAACTTTTTCAGAAGTATTATTAGTGAAAAATTAGTTACTTTAATGAGAGTAACGAAATTTCATTACTTTTCATTATAATAATTGTGCATAATTATTATAATTGGAGAAACTTAAGGGAACCCTTTCTCCCTCATTTTTAAAGCTATGGGGTGAATCCTGCTACAATGGTAGAACACATTTACCGTTGTTAGCTAACCAAATTTCGGAATGTTTCAATTATCCGTGAATTTTTGGGGAATTTTCAAAGTTTTTATAAACAATATTTTTTAATAATAAAGAAAATATGTTCCGAGTTTGAAAGCGTTATTTCGTGATTAATGGTGTAGTCCTTACTTTGAAAGTAGTTGTTCTACTCCAGAAACTTTATGTGGAACAAACTATGTTAAATTGGTTGAGACTCGATTAATTGAAAAATGATTGCGCTATAGCACGATGTCCCCCCCGCAAAGACAAAGTTTTTTTCAGTTTAATAAACTTTCCCCATGTTTTTTTATGATGGAATCAATTAAGAAATGACATTTATAACCCAGGAACAAAGATCAAAGTGTTGAATATTAACCACTGATTGTTTTGCACAAGCCTACCAAATACTGCTTCAGACAGAAGGCCACATCATTTTTAACACACCAATGTGGTACTAGCTTTACTTAGAGTTGAAACCAGAAGAGTTCCCCTCAAACAGTGGTTCTCAACCTGTGGGTCCCCAGATATTTTGGCCTTTAACTCCCAGAAATCCTAACAGCTGGTAAACTTGCTAGGATTTCTGGGAGTTGTAGGCCAAAATACCTGGGGACCCACAGGTTGAGAACTACTGCCATAAAAGCATTTGTCTAGATCCATATCATTAGGTACTGATTCAAACTAATTCCAGATAACTGGGCCTAACAACATTATATTACTGGATACTTTCTCATCCATCTGGGAGTGAACTGCTGGAAAGAAACAAGAATGATGAGAGTTTTCCCCCATCAGTTCTACTTCACCTGGAATTTTCCAGATCTCCAAAGAGATAAACAAAGGATTCAAGACCTTTGGGGAAATTAAGCAATTGAAACAAAGTGGTATGTGTAAATTTTTATGTTTCTGCCCCATCCAATTGTCCATCTGTTCTAGAGGTCCCTCATTGCCATAGAATTTTTACTTTGTTTTTTTTTAAGGATTAGCACACTTAAGAGAGGGAATACTTATTTATTCCTTGTTTTCAACATATCAGCCCTTGTCAATCAATCATGGCAGAAACTGTTGAACAGAAGCTTCTACACTTGCTGTGTTACATCTGCTTTTTATAAATTATCCCAATTTTAGCTGCTTTTCGGGG